TGACTTTAGCTGGGATGGCTATGCAATAGTGGTCCTCTCCAGCCTTATAAATCTATGGCCTTAACAGAGTATGCCAGGTAAAGTGACTGCCTGCTAAACAAACTGTTCATCTGCCATCACAGTCCCCTCCCTCGAGTAATTTGCTTCCTCATGGATGCCTTTAACACAGAGTAAAATATACAGACAATATAAAGCACATTTAGATCTTAAGTAAATTGTCCACTGCCACATGTGTTGTAGCTACATGCTTATCTTAGCTATGTTCTAGGAAATTCAAACAGGCTGCAACATGTTTCAGTCATCTCAGTGTGGAAAGACAAAGACTAATTTACAGGTACTCCTGAAGGAACCTTACTGACTGATAGTTTAATGATACAGCAACCTTACAGACTAGTAACAAAAGAAAATAAAAGGGTCTAGACCACAGCATCATTAGCTGGTGATGAGGGACATCTTATGACCTTTCTGAAGTGAGAAGATTGAAAAGGATTGTACATTGACCCAAGATGCTCTTTTTAAAGGACACTTGTGGCTCTTTTCCTAAGTCCATACAGCTGTTCTGCTCTTAACAATCTTTGTCAAATATTCACTTAAATATGCAGTAGGTTGTGCTTATTCACAATATATGTATCCCTGCTGCCACTGTATTATCCATTCTTAGCTTTTTTTGGTATCCCACAAAAGTTCCCAACATTCTTGACTTACCTTCACAGCTTTGGGTATATTGAGAACCCTACAAACACAGAAACAGTTCGTAATACGTATGTTCTAGAGTCCACGAGGAAGATGTATGGGGTAAAAAGGAGTGAAGATGGCAAGTCTCCATAAAAAGAACAGGCACATTTGGTGTGAAGACTCAAATGTTTGACCTGCAAGTGATCACAAAGGCAAGTAAGTTATTTATTCCTTGTTCTCCCATAACACTTTGTATTCTTCAATCCTGAAAAAAAAAAACCACTCCAAAACAAAAAATAAAACAAAACAAAACCTAAAACCAAAAAAGAAACAACCACACTTCTGCATACAGGCAGAACTTTGTTTTAAATCAGAATCACAGGATAGTAAGGGGTCTTTGGGTCTTGTTAAGAAGCTCTCTCTCTTATGTTTTTGCCTCAGCAGATTTTGATGCTCCAGTTCACCCTCTAGGTATTTACTCCTTTTCCTGTGGGCATCAGCTTTGAAGTACCAAAGGATGGGATGAGGAAAGCTTAGATTTGTAGAATAAGATCAGAAGCTCTTTTGTTTTAGATGTTGAACTTCAGTCTATACACATTTTTATTTATACAGAAAGGCTTATTCAGTCAAATCTGTTTAAAGACAGCTGAATTGAGCTGCAGGACTTAGTGGAGATATAGTTATTTTAAAAACAAGTAAAATATCATAAGCCTAAAAACTTATGACAAATTTAGAAGTTTACTTAAATGCAAATTAAACAGATGATATGTTACTCATTCTTAAACTTAACTCAGAAAAAACCAAACCTTCATTGCTAACAAACCTGATGTAAAATTTCAATCCTCTCACGTGATTTGAAGGACTTCATTGAAGGCTTTATACCCAAGAGTATTTGGGACTTACCAAGCTTTCTCTTGCTTTAAGTTCAGAGGAAGCATCTAGGAGAGACCCAACTCTGATGATTATGGGCATTCCTTATAATAAAGTTTCTCCCTACAATCCTAAAAGCTGAGTGGGTGAGGACTTCATTTTAATGGAAGGATAACCAATTGAAGAAAAGCTCTGGATCCTCTATTTTAGTGCTTCTTAAAAAGAGCAGAAGGCACACCAGCATATGAAAAATACTGGAAGATTAGATTGGCATTTAAAGAAAAGCATGATGCTTTTTTGTAGAAGTCTGTTGGCAGAAGACAGCAAGAAAGTGTTACTCAATATTTCAGAAAGGTGAAAACTGATTTAATTAGCTCTTAACTGTAAGCAACACAGGAAAAGCCAAAGCAAGTGAATCTACAGGCTAATTTTAAGATTCCAATTCTTTGTGCAGGACAACCCAATTACATGGGTGTGATGCTAATCGTCCTACAGTTATACTGTGCGGCAAAAAAGAATCGTATATACAAAGCCTAGTGCATTTGGGGTGCAATACATATAAGAACACATACACATGGTAGTTATTTAGTACATGTTAGTTGCAAGAATTAGTGCCCATTTTTCTTTCTATTGTACTTGCTACGTTGCAAGTTCAACCCTAAGGGAACAAAAGACACAAACATAAACCATGGAATATTTTTTCAAATTTCTCAGAGCAGAAAGATTTAAGTTTTAGCTCCATAAAGAGGTAGTTAGAACATGAGACAAGTTGCTCATACTTCTTCAGCAGAACTATGAGCCAACACACCATTAAGAAGTGTCCTGCAAAGATTAAAAACACAGCAAGGTATTTCCAACAGAAATAAAATAGCATTAGTGTCACTAAGCCAGTCAAATCCTTGCAATTCTTGTGCGAAGTAAATCCTCACCTGAAACATTCCATGCAGTTTTGGCTACTCAGATCAGAGGCACCACACTTTCTCTGTTGATTCCACTCAAGACACGAAAAAGAGTCCTACAGTTTATGTACTGGAACAGGACTAGAGAAAGATCTTGCCTGTAATCTTGGAAGGCCTTTTTTTATTCCCCAAAGGATACTTTTAAACATCCTGAAATGCATAACATCACCTGATGTCACTTTTTACCAACGGCAAAATTCCTTCTCAAACCCCTCAACATTAGTTCCAGGATATGACCTATACCCACCCGTTGCCTAAACTCCATCCAGTTTTTTCCTTTTCCCTAATCAACTGACTCTCCAAGATACACCATTAGTAACCAGTCATCGTCTGGAGTGTAAACCATCAACAACTGCATTTCAAGCCCAGTTTTCCACCCATCTTCCATTTACTTAACCTGGTCTTTAGGGATGGGGGATACAACTGGTCCCAAATTGTTTGTGGTTTTATAAACTGTATCACTTGGGGTAGTCAACATTCCAAGAAGGTTCTTTAGAAAAAGATCTAAGGAAATGCCTATGTTACTGCAACCAACATTAATAAACAGTCAGGAAGGTGACAGCACATAGCTGGTCTCTGGCAAATGCAAAGGAAACTGGAAAGGTCCCTTGGTAGGGACATGTAAATAAATATACCTGTATATTCCGATAGGCACATTCATCCAGAACTGCCTAAAACAACGGACTTTATTTCTATATTCTGAAACAAACAAATGCAATCTTCACTCAGTTTTGAGTAACTGGGGAGGGGCACAGCTTCCCAAAAATGTGTGTCATCTGGAATGGGCAGTCACCACTCCCTCTGAAATTATTTCCATACTTCATTACTGATGCAGGAAATTAACTTAATTTGATGAAACATTAGCTACAAAAGAGACCCAGGGATTCCACTGAAAGTTCCTTCTAAGCTTACAGAAAAGGGTAATTTTCTCCATTATAATCAGCAGTTGACCATCCCACCCTGCTGCCCTAAAACCTGTCATCTACATTTAAACTATCACTTAACACACTTCATAGTGAGAACTGTCAGTACACAGAAGTCATCAATTATGTATTTCAGATTACCAGTGAACTCAAGAATGCTTAGAGTTCAGAGATCCTGAGGTCACAGTGGATTAAATAACTGCAACAGTGGAAATAAAGTACCGAGATCTAAGGTAGAAAGGCTTATCTTGGCTGCTTAGAAGCAACTTAATTCTCTCCAACCAGCAAAGGAGCCACGGACAAAGACAAATAACCCACCACTTGCAGAAATGTGGGCAGCACCTCAGTTCTCTTAACTACTGCAAACAAGTTCTCATGCTAAAGCTCTTGCCAGTTTCTAGAACACTGATACATTTCCTGTTGTTTGGGAAAAGATCAGGATCTTCCTCTTGCAGGGCAAGAGATCTACAAATAGAACACAAATAGTTGAGTGCTTGTAAGGCAGAAGGAGAGATTACACCTTAAAAGTAAAGCAGATATGAATCTCAATCCTAGCCTTAACATGAAGATCAGGAGAGTAAGAGTTTACAGACGTAGGGAGTATTTTGTTATTTTAACTTACACGTCCAACAGAGATACAGTTCAAGCAGCTGCAGGCTTAAGACATCTTTCAACCAATTCAAGCTAACTTTTAGTTCCAAGCTAACCCACTTACAGATACAACAATCAAGTCTAAATCATGCTGATTCTTTAAAAATGTAAAAATATAAGCCATATAGAAAACAAAAGGTCAAGGCACCAAACTCAGTTTCCTCTCTTTCCTCGCAATTTTCTATTTTCTTCTGTCCAAGCCACGCTAAAAGCCAACAGCTAAATGACTACGATACACAGCATTCTTTGGAGTTGCTACTAGACTTCCTGGTGACCTAATATCTAAACCAAGTATTCCCCTATCATACTTTCCCCAGTTCTACAACAGATCACCGAAAAAGTAAATTGGTTCACATTTGAGGTTAGAATTATTTTAATTCTATCCAACCTCTGTCCACTCTGTGCTTATACCACTTGTATACAGTTATGGCTATAAATTATCACAAAGGTTCTCCAACAGAAAGTGCACAAATTACATATATGATGAGATTTTTTTTAAAAATTCCCCATAATGACCACAAGAGATTATACAGTTACTTCTGTTAATTTACCACATTTAGGGAAAAATTATGTAAATTACTTAGCTGAACTCAAAATAGTTAAATTGCACGTTTCCAGCTAGATTAGAAGGAACTGTGGAAAAAACCAAGTGTACTTATATATAATTTCTAAGACAGGTAACAGTGCACATCACGTAAATGCATGCTTCCCCTAGGAACACTATGAAGGCAAACGTGCATATCTGTCCTGGTAGGTGGAGTCTGAATACATTAAAAACCAGCAATAAATAACATGAGTCATGCAACTACAAATTCTAAATTATTTCAATCATAATATCAATCAATATTTGATTTTAAACCAATCTGGTAGTCAGCACGAGGAAATACCTGAAATACTTAACTACAGACACTTTAAACAGTAACATTTCTTAAGTGTTTTATTGCTACAAACTGGTACATCTTATCACAAAAAGCTAAAAGGCATATTATAACACATATTCTATTATACAGAGTGCAATGCAGTCCCCGAAACAGCCACACTCAACAGCACAATTTTTGAAGTTACTCATTCTGTACTAAGAGGTAAATAGGACAAGCTTATGCCATACAGCATTTAATATATTTACCCCACAGACCCGCCTTTCTTTTCAACTGCTTAGACCAAAAATTATTATAGCCAACTTTCAATACACACATCAAAAAAATAGGATGCTTAAAAAAATATACAACACAATGTTTTAATCAGCTTTAACAGTCAGTTTGCTATAAAAAGCTCAACTAAAATAGTCTTAATTTCATTTTAAACAAAATCAGAAACACAGAGGAATCATATAAACAAGTTCTCCATGGAATGGAATGCATGCATCAGGTGGGGAATCTTCAACAACTTCATTTGAGACTATTAAAAAGTCTTAGCCACTTTAGAGCAGAAATAAAAAGCTGTTTTGCCCCCCCTCAATATACTTTTAATTTTCTTGCATTTAGTTATCTTCAGTGTGGTCTAAAGTGAAGTCAGTTTGCTCTTCAGTTTCTTCCTCCTCCTCTTCCTCCTCTTCTTCCTCACCCTCAGCTGGCTCCTCAGGTTTCTCCTCTTCTTCTGTCTGCTGCTCCTGAGCCTGATCATTAATTTCAAAAGGATTTTCACCCTGAAGAAGATTGAAAACACACAACATAAAACTCATAATTTGTTTCAGATATTTAAGAACTATGAATAATCAATAAAAAATAAAGAACAACATCTCAGTTAAAACTCATGCCACTTTGAGATGATCCACTATTACTGTCAAGTACCATGGGGCTATGGAACACCAAGAAGTATTTCACTGAATAGGTTACAGTATCCAACACTGAAATACCAAAAATATTTATTAGCTCAGTAAACTGTTTCATGAAAAAAATCATACAGAAAAGCGAGTGCCTAAATCAATTCAATTCCAACATCAATGCAAGGCATTGTAAAATAAAAAGACTGAGCACCCAAACCGTAATTCAATAAGGATTAGTGCAAGTCCCCAAAATTGCACTCATCTACTTTCCATTTTGGATAGAAGTACCAAAGACCTTCTGCCTGTAAAGCCTGTAGTGCCATTTTCCTTGGGTTCAGCCAAATATTTTCAATCACATTTGCATACAGGAACATGGATTTCCAAAGACGTCTTGATTTTTGCTAGGATAGGGTTAATTTTCTTCCTAGTAGCTAGAAAGCACTGTGTTTTGGTTTCAGTGAGAACTGTTATGAGAACAATGTTGATAACTCCAAGGACAGGCTGCCCAGGGAGGTTGTGGCGTCTCCTTCTCTGGAGACATTCAAGACCTGCCTGGACGCCTTTCTGTGTGATCTCATTTAGGTTCCTGCTCCGGCAGGGGGACTGGACTAGATGATCTTTTGAGGTCCCTTCCAATCCCCAATGTTCTGTGATTCTGTGTGACACTGTGCTTGGGCAGTTTCCAAGAACAGAAGACTGGAAGTGGGGAGTGGAGAAAAGTGTAGTAGTTAGTAAAACCCAGAACTGACAGTTGGATATGCCAATAAGATATTCCATATCATATTATGTCACGTTTAGTGTATTAACCGGGACTGACCGGAAAGGAGGGGATTCTCTCGGGAATTGCTCAGGCTCGCTTTTCCGGGATTGCGATTTCGGGTCTGGGGTTCCTTTTCGCTCCTCCGGGATCGTTATCAGCGGGTGGTGAGCAACTGTACTTTGCATCATTCACATATATAGTTCTTATCATTATTACTCTTATTCTTATTATTTTAATTTTATTTTTACTCTAATTATTAAATTGTTCTTGTCTCAACCTACAAGTCTCCTTACCTTTACCCCTCTAGTTTTCTCCCCAGTTCCCTGGGTGGAAGGAAGGGGGCGGGGGGCTGCAAGTGGCTGTGTCTTGTTTGGCTGCCAGCTAAGTCAAACTATCACAAAAGATAATTAAGCTAATTACTAAGTTAAGAAGACTTCCTCTGGTTTGCTTCAAATGCGTGCTCATCAGTAGACATTAGAGAGGGAAGACAGGTATATTAAGAGTTTCATATGGCATAATGGAGAGCATTGTTTCCTAGCAAAAGAAAACAAAAGGTGGTCTTTCTCTGAAAATGATTCACAAGGATATCAGAAGCCTTTTTCTAAGTCTGACACAAAATGGAAGATTAAAATCCTCTCATGTCTAGGCTAGGCATAATGGTGAACTGTAACTAAAGAATACACTTCTAAAAGGACTACTTCCACACTCCTGCAGACAACTTCTGACAGTCCCTGACTCTTGGGGACAAGCTACAGAAAATTGTTACACTTCATTCCTGTGGAGACAGTATGTCACTTCTGGCTAGCCTAGCAGAAATGGATTCAGTACACTACTTCTGGCTGAACAGATCTCTGTACAATAATAATAACAAAAAAAAGTTGCTTTCCCCAACTGTTTTTTCAGAGAAAAATGCACTTTTCAAGTTCACAAACTAAGGAAAAAGTTACTGCCCTCAAGGGGAAGATCCTAACACTGTGGTCTTTTCCAGTGATGCAGCATCAGAGGCATCCAGCACAGCATGCAGAGCCCATTTTGATGCTAGTTGATTTTGACAGCCACACTGGTCCCGTCTTCCCAGATGGCTTTAAAAAAAAAAACAAAACAAAAAAGCCCCCAAAAACACAGGCACACCACTGAACAGCTGCAGAAAGACTTCATGATGCCTACAGAGCATAAAAACACAAGTAGGTAAGTAGTTTATTCCCAAGAGATGCATTCTTTGGGTTCCTTGTGTCTAGAATATTTAAATTGCAGAGAAAGCTTAAGACTGTGAACTAGTACTTACAACCAAAGTTTTGGGAATCAAGTGTCCCCAGAAACCACTCTATGTTTATTTATAACAGGTCTCACAAACTTGACCCAAAAAGATGCCAAAGTCTGCCTATCTAACTGATAAACTTTAGAGTGCCTTCACTAATACATATGACCAAAGAGTTCTGGGATGCAATGATAGAAAACATCAACCTCTATGATGCTTTTCTTGAGCAACATCCAAGCAGCTTTTAATCACAGATATTATCCTATCTAGGAACGTCTAAATGGTCCAAGATTAGAGATAGTCATGGCTTCACCAAGTGATAAATTTTTGCCTGAGAAACAAGATCGTCTTTTTTTCCTCCCTATTATAAAGGGACTTGATACAGATTCATAAAACTTCCAAGATGATTGTTTCCAAGTGGTCTGCAGGTGAGTTGCAGTGGATTTCCCCCCTTCCCCGCCTTCTTTACAATATGGATGTAAGAGAATAAGGAGAAGTGAAAGATGCAAACAATATGCTGTAAATTTCAGCACTGAATTGGATTTTCAAATTTAGGAACTGAAAAAAACAATGGAATAAAATAGCATAGAAGATGGTCACCAGCACCATTAGGATCATAAATATCACATGCAGATTTTGAAAGCTGTAAACCTCAGTTCTGATACAGTAGTTTTCTGGAAACTGAATGGAGTGTTTTCCAGCAATGCAGACACCAGCTCCAAAGCAACAGCAGCCCAGGGAACAGAAGCAGCATTTTGTGACTGAAGACACGATACATGAAATAATAGTTCTAACAGTGGGGTACAGCAGAAGACTGCAAGAACAGTACACATGACTGAGTTATGCTAACACTAACAGATCCAAGGAAGTTGCATTAAAAAAATTAAGGCTAGCTTCCAGAAAAACTATTCCCCACCATTGTGATTTTTGTTGCTCTCACCATCAGCTGTGGCACTAACAACCACTGTCAAGCCCTATCTGGACCTTTGTTTTTTCCTTTCTGTTCATAACTCCAGTCACTGACCAGAAGCATAACAAAGATCAGAGCCTTTATCAACAACAGGAGCTCTTCTAAAGCCCATAATCTAATTTACTGAAGCTGTCTTCCATGGAACTGGGATATTAATTGCAAGTGGCCTGAAACAAACGGAAAACCCACACACAACATATGAGGTATTATCCTAGGCTAACTCCAGATAGATCCTTCTATTTATCAACGGACATCACAGGCACCTTTATCATGTTAAAAAAATAATAATAATAAAAAAATAGCTTAACTCGGTGAAAGTTACCAGGAGCAATTTAGCCTTTACGCCTTTGCTACAGCTGATGTGTTCAAGCTTACAGAACTAGCTGAAAGATTCAATTTCAAGCATGCATACTCATTCAGCACATACAGATAAACACAAAGTTTGCATTTATTTCTTAAAAAGATTTTGCTGTGAAATTTGAAAATATAAAACTGACTTCACAATTAAATGGCTAAACATGAAAATGTTTGAAAACGTTTACAGCCAAAAATAATTTTGTTTTCCTTTTCACAGTGCAAACTAGAAATATGCAGTTAAAAACAAAAAAAAAAAAAAGGAAAGTTGAGTGTTTGTACAACAACACATTTGAAGCTGTAAGTTTGTTTAAAATGGATGCATGTTTGCTTCCTTTCCTTTTGCACATACAGCAACCAACCTGTGGAGAAGTCCCTAGATGGGGAGATTAAATCAAAGGACAAAAGAGATTTTCCATTATGCACTGGGCAGAATGGCATTTTACTCAAAAGAAGTGGCCAAGGTGTCCCAAGTAAAACAGCAGTTACTGCTTGTCAAATAGCTTACTCCAGACCAGAAGTCATAATCCACTCCCTCATTTTCAGTCAAACCTTAGGCAGAGCCTTGAACCTTGAAAAGCCTTATACAACGCAACACGCAGCAAATATCCTCAAAACTGATCACCTGCTGCCAGGTGTCAGCCAGTCAATCAACGCAAATTACCTTAAAGTGTCATCCTCCAAGCAGCTACTCGGTAGCTCCATGGGGTAATGAAAATGACTTCAGCAGAACTTTTGACACAAAACCACAGTGGGGGAAGATGGGTGCCAAGTACCAGTTGTGGTAGAAGTGGATGTCTACTGCTCTCCACAGGATGTGGTCCTAGAAGGCAGTACAGGCCCCAACAGAAAATAACTTTTCCTAATTCAACTCTGATTGGGATATGCACCTCTTCTAGGCCACACATTAAAAAAACCAAACTTCCCAGTATGCACACAGAAATCCAGCAGCGTAACAGAAAAATAAAAATCTTCTCTTTTTGGTTCATGTAAAACAGTTTCAACAGGGATGCATAAAAATCAGGAGGTGCTGACCTGCAACTTTCTTCTCTTTTGTCAAAGGCATTTCTGATGTTGATGACCTGCCTCTGCAACTTGCTACAAATCTATGCAACAGCCTTGCAGGTCTACCCTGCTCTGAATTTCCTCCTTCCATGCTGCATATGCAGGATAGACAACACTTTCCAAAACAATGTGGAGTCTGGGTGTTCTGGGGGTTTATTTTCTTCGTTTGGCTGTTTGGGGGGAGAAGGGGGGCAGCCCTGTGTGTGTGTGCTAGTCTACCCTTCATCTCAAAGCAAGCTATTTTTGGCTGTAACAAGGATTTCCCACTCTCCTGGAAGACTAGAGGCACCAAAAGCATGCATCACATACTCTGATCCATCACATGGTGTATAATAAAACTGGACTCCTTCAGTCTGCAATTGATGATACATTTGGGTAAGAATGAAAGGGATTTCCATAACCAGAAGCCAGATATGTCTCACTGAGCAGGTGCTGCTGAAAGTGTACTCAGTTCCATCCACCCCAGGAAACAAAAATGCTAGGCATTCTGAAAATGTCAGTGGTGTCCTTGTGAAGACAATCTTGAAAATCTTCTCTTCCTCAGTTTTCCAACTGAGGAATAGCAAATTTCCATTCCCCCTTGTACCAATCCCCACTAGAGGGCTGTATGGGACAAGGCACACACCTACCAGGACATAGGGAACACCAGAGGAGATGGCTGGAAATACACACATACTCCAGGCTGCAGTATCTGGCCATTTGCTACCTTTTCTTAACAGACAAAGAATAGTTGTCTGAAACCGATTCATGCACCCAACCATACACAGTTTTGCAGGACATGACTAATTTGACATTTTAAATCACAATTAACTTCTGCATTGGCTCATACCTTGTCATATTTCCGCAACACAATATTGCTTTGTCTGAAAGTGTCTATGATTTATGCACAGGCAAAATTAAAAGCCAATTAAAAGTAACTACCAGGAACAGCCAACAATGGTACTACAGAAAAAGCAACTTCGTTGAGCCAGAAGAAAAAAAACCCCATATTTTGCTAAAATGAATTCACGTACGTTCTCTGATCACAACTACTGTTGTAAGCCTTAATTTTTTGTATGCTGCCATGAATCCTAGGAATTCTATGGAATAAAAGTAGCTGAGTAGCATGTGCACTGTACTTCAATACAAAGCCACATGCTGGAGCCTTTGCTTCTATATGTAAAAACTGACTCATCTGTAAAGTGGTTTGTGCTCTACAGTTAGTATTATATACAGAATTAATGACAAAATTAATGCCTTCCCAAAGCTTGGTTTCATTGTTTGTTTTTTGTTGGTTTTTTTTTAATAAGAGCACCTAATTAAAAATTGACTAGATACACATATAAATAGTAAACAAAATCCAAAAGCTGGTAAGTCTAAAGGTGGTAATTTTTTCTGCAACCGGAGTTATCCAATACAACAATCTGAGCAAAGTATGTTAAAAGTATATATTCCATCTGTGAGCTACTTAGAAGGCAGAAACAGAAGACAGAGCACTGAGGTTAAACTCCATCAGCATGGAGGAAATAGGGCTACAGCAACCATTACAGGTGACATTTTTTCCATTTGCATCTTACCTTCACATACAGCTCATATCGTGCCTTGACAATAGGATTATTCAAGATACTGGTGGCAGTAAGAACGCTCTCCCTTTTTATTTGTTCTCTGTATGCCTAGGAAACAAAATTTTACAGTGAATAATTGTCATACACCTAATTCCAGTTGTCACACAAGCTTGAATTCATGGTCATTTTCTGTAAGGAAAATAATGAACACACTGCAGCATGAAATGTTCTTTCTTCACATTGAAGTCCAAACCACATAATAAGCTCAATTAAGTTTGGTAGTGTTTATAGCCTGTTGCTTTAGCTTGATCAAAAGATATCTTCACGTCCTGCTTACATAATGAACTACAACCACACACCTGTCTACAAGCACAGCTACCTGTTCTCACGTACAGATAGCATGCATGCTTTTCCATCACAGCCTAACATCACACATTTCTGAAGATGTCCCTGCTGATTGCAGGGGTGTTGAACCAGGCTACCTTTAAAGGTCCCTTCCAGCCTAAACCATTCTATGCTTCTATGATATTCCATCATAGAAGCTCATATCTAAACAAAACATTACTTTGGCAATCTTGCTTACTATGACAACTGTGATTTTTTCCACTCATGCTACTCTTTCAACCCTTCTACCTTAAAAGTGCATCATAATAAATTGTAACAGGGACCAATTTCATACTACTGCTAATTCTAAACCGATCTCACTTTTCTTTGAATTAAAAAGATAATAGCCAAGCAAAAAAAGACACCAGGTTTGTTATCTTGCTGGAAACATATGTACTATGTTTTGAAATCTGCATAACAAAGATCTTTCCAACACTTAATGGCAGTAAAAAAAAAGTTCTGATAAAATAGAGAAGTCATTCCTAGTAACCTTCTCAGGACTTACTGCTGTCAGGTATTAAGCACACCAGTATTACATTAACTGGGGTTACTTAGGCACTGCATACTTCATGGGACATTATGTTTACAAAGCGTAACAAGGGCATTCTAGCTTTCTAGAGAGCAAGCAATACCAACAAGAACTTACAAAGTACTTGCACCAAGTACCATAACACTTCTCACCTACTATTAGATTACGCTTGCCACCCCCCTCCCTTTTTTTTTTTAAATAATATGTCATATCTTACTTGTTTTCCTTTTGTGTGATCAGGAGATTTTAAGTGCTGCTGAACAGAGCTGTGTAATGCAGGAACATACACACTGCAAGCACTGCAGTGAACAGTCTCAACTTTCATCATATGGTCATCAGCTGTAACTCCTGCCAAGGAAGATGCAACAAATCATTAACACAGAATGTGTTATTCTAGGGAAGTGGAAGAGAGGACTGGTTGTTTTATAGCAGAAAATCAGAGCTCTCAGTTGTTGGGGAATGTTCACCCAAATTCAGGCATCAAAATTAGGCTCCGAAGACAATGTTGAAGGAGGACTTTTTTCACCTGAATGCTCCAACTGTTCTCCACAGACTATATACCAGAGTCAGGCAATTATGTTTACTGCCTAAGGGTATGGCATATGAACACCTACCTGCCTAGATAGAGGGAAATAAAAGTGATACAACAATCAAATTAAACTATTTATTTAATGTACAAAAATGCTACCTATTTAAAATCAACAATAACTAATATCCTTAATAATACACATTTTGATACAAGAAACAAACAAATCTTCACTGAAGCAGTTGGATTTACCTTATCCCTGACAAGAACAACTAATTTATTTTCTTGCCTTCCCTTACCACCAGGAAGAAGCACACGAATCCAATTCCTCTTACAAATTTAGATATGCACTTGACAACAGAACGTTCTGATCATATAGGCAAACAGGCCCTCCAGTACTTAAGGCAAGTACACAAAAAGAATTTGGGAGACTGTTAAGATGTTGGCTATATCCATTTTTATGTAGCTTTTAGCATTTAAATTCAAATTAAGGTAATATTCAAATACAATTATTGCCTAAAGTAAAAGTACTCAAAAGATGTCTCCTCTGGCTCTAGCACATCTTTTGAAAGTCCTTAAGCAAAGGATAAAGGGGAAGGATATGGCAGAGCAAGGCAGGGACAAATGTTCTAGAAAACTGCCTGTAGGACAGCCAAGGGGAAAAAAAAAAAAAAATCAAGCCAAGATGCATCTTGGGTAGCCAAGAAAGTGCTCAAACTACTCCTTTTGTCAGTGTCCCCCAAAACCACAGCAATTACCCCTTATATAATCCATATCCTTGTCATCATATATGACCATTATCACCTGACTGCTTTATTACACACTCTCTTTCACTCAATCTACCTGTTGCCCCTCCTCATGCATTATACTGAATAAGACTGTGGCAAAGCCCACAATTGTTTATCAAGTACCTAGCACAGCATTATCCTACTTTCTGACAAGGCTTCCTGGATAGCAAATATAAAGTTTGTTATCTCCCACTGTGCTTACATTCCACATTATATCAAAAATGAAACAAGGAATCCCAACCATGTACAGAAAAGACATGAAAACTAATTCTTTTAAACCAATCATTTAACAAATTTGAAGAAGAATGAAAGTAGAAAAGGCCAAGCAGAGCTCCACAGTATGCACTTTCACATAAAAACCATTACTCGCCTTCCATTATATCTTTTTCAGCAGCTTGAGCATTTTCCGTTTGGTTACTTGTCTGCTGCTTACGCATAGCTGTCTTTTTGAATTTATTGACCATACACTCCTAGAGAGAATCAGAAAGAAATTGTAACACATTTGATGTATAATTGTTTATATTCCAATAGGCACCTATACTTAAAATATTACTCAGAACAGCTCTGTAATAAATAGTAATTAACTGCTGTTACTTCTAAAGTAACACTTAAGTACTTTAATTGTAAAAGTTAGACTATTTTACAGACAATTTGCTTCAACTTTTAGTAATATATGCTGCATCAAGTCATCTGCAAAAGGAATAATGATGATAAATTAAGCATATTTTGAAGATAAATAGTAAATTGTAACTACATTCTAATGTAAAAGCATTATACAAATAAAAAAACAGTTGTCTTACATGAAGAAATTCCATCACTACTTTGTCAAATTTGGTTTGCTTCTGGATATGATCCAAAGTTTCCTGGTGAGCTGCACTCTCCAGATGTGCCTCAATTTCTTTTTCTTCAAATGTTCGAAACTTGCAAAATGAGCAAGTAAATGCCATTCTATCAAGAGAAACACATTAAATAATATTACCACTAAAGAAACATTCTTCCCTCTCCCTTCAGAACCATGAGGACTTGACAAATCTCATTAGAAAAGGAATAGGAAAAACATTCTTTAAAAAGTCCAAGTGAAAAAGAAAAAAAAATTCCAGTATGTTACTATTAAGAAGGGTAACTGCTACAAGAGCCAAATATAAATCAGGCCAGTCTCAGAATAATGAATTATCTCTGCAGAATATGAAAATTACTGAAATCAGAAGCTAGTCATTTAAAAGTCACATTATTCCCTAAGTATATCTATCGCAGGTCCCTAGTTTGTGTCACCTTTTGTAATACTTCTCAGTCATGCCAGTCTACAATTTCCTAACTACAAATAGTTAAAAGACTTCATTTAAAGCTAATTTTCTATACAAAACCTATATAATCTTTATAAGGAAATATGGCCTCCTCAGTACAATGAGGAAAAAACACTAATGCTATGATCATATACTGCACAGACATAGAACAGTTTTGTACAGTGCTGGAAATTAGCCCACTCGGCTGCGGCAAGACTAAGAAAAGTTACAGAACTATCTACTTATCGTTTTGCTAGCTCACCACACATATAAACCCAGAATAAAGCCAATTTCTAACAACTTATTAAATCAGCATGAAGGTCTATTTAACTGAAATATATACTTCAAAAATTTATACTTCAAAAGCAGTATCATTCTAAGCTGCTTCTCAAGTGTGCACTGATGCACTTGTAGGGGAGAAGGGGTTAGGAAATCGTGTATTTTCTGATACAGTAGAGGTCCAGTGAAACATCCTGTCTTCTAAGCCAGAAGATCTGGGTGCTGGGTTTTGGTTTGAGTTTTTTTGTTTGTTTGGGTTAGGTTTTTGTTTTGGGGATGGAGGATTTAGGGGGTGGCAAGGAGTGGGTATTTTGGTCATTTCTTTGTTGCATTTTATTTCTCTAATTGGTTTTACAATCCAAACAATCTTTCGGGAAAGAAGACATTCTCACAGAAGGATAAAGAAGAAGAAAAATACTGCACACAGGACAGAATCTACAGCACAAACCTGTATCCATCACCATATTTTTCACTGTTTTTCTCCCTTCTGCGCCTTTGCTTCTCTCTTCTGGCTTCAATTCGCCGCTTTTCTTCCTCCTCACTTTTAACTTCTCCTTTGCCATCTTAAAAAAAAGAAACCTAGTAAAAGTATTTGTTCTCCCTGTCTCCTCCACAAACACCTCAAAATACAGACAAAGACCCTATACCCAAGTGGTTCAATGGGTTTTTTAATGGCACAGAAATTTTGCTTTGTTTTCCTCCTATTAGGCAATAAATTTAAACATTTGCTTCCAACAATGCAAACTCAGTAGTTCAGGGGTTACACTCTAGATTACACTCATTACAGTAAGAAAATTCAGAGCTAAAGCAAACCGTACTCTGTTGTGCCTAGTTATTAAAGGTCTCTTCGAATGACCAGGAAAGGTACTGGGGTTGCAGGAGAAGCCCATTACTTAAAACTCTCAACTCTCCATAGTTTTAGAGCACCATTGCTACAATCCCCTTACATAAAAATAAACTATCTAAAGCCATTCTCTTCTGCTGAGAAGGCAGTTTCCAAAGCCAAAAGCAAAGGTTCTCATGAAGGAAACGAGGCAGTGTTTCATTAAGGTATGGTATCCACCCTGAATTTCAACAACTTTAATATTTTCCCCACAACCCTTCACTTGATTTCACAGAAACATGTTCCAAAGATTTTCAGAAGAAATAAAACAATGAAGGAAGAAACGGGGGGGGGGGGGGAATCAAACAACCCAAAAAACACTCCCAAAACTGAACTGAAACACAAACACTACACCAAAAAAACCCACATAACAAAACCCCAACCAAACCCTCAAAGAACAACTCCATTAAGTTCATAGAATCATAGAATAGATTGGGTT